GAGTCGGGGATTCAATCTGGCAGCTCGCCAAAGCTTATGTGGCGGTTAATGACTCAGGCTACCACCAGCTCATAAGTCACTGGTACTAATAATTACCTACAAAAAAAAAAAATCAACATACTAACAAATGTGATTTAATATGTTTCTGATTATTTTTTTATTTTTTATTTTCTATTTTTTATTTTTTGGTTGAATACATAGGCTAAACACTCATGCGGTGATCGAGCCATTTGTGATGGCAACTAATAGGCAGCTTAGCGTACTCCACCCGATATACAAGCTACTGAAGCCACATTTTCGTGACACGATACACATCAACGCCTTGGCCCGGCAAATACTCATTAATGCGGGCGGCATACTTGAGCGGACTGTGTTCCCAGCTAGATATTCTATGGAAATGTCTTCCTTCATTTACAGAGACTGGAATTTTACCGAGCAGGCACTCCCTGTTGATCTTATCAAAAGGTGGTCTTTTTTTTTTTTTTTAACTGTTTCGGCTTGGATTTTGCTTCATGGATCTTGATTTTTGGTAATAATTACATAAGGTGCCCTTAACTAATAACCTAATCACAGAGTTGTAAGATATACAAACTTCTTTAACTCTTTCTGTTTCCCTACAGAGGGATAGCAGTCCCAGACGAGAGCCGGCCCCACGGCCTCAAGCTCTTGATCGAGGACTACCCGTACGCAGTCGACGGCCTCGAAATCTGGTCAGCCATTGAGTCTTGGGTCCATGACTATTGCCTCTTCTACTACCCAACAGACGAGAAGGTTCGTGAGGACACCGAGCTCCAGTCCTGGTGGAAGGAGCTCCGAGAAGTCGGGCACGGTGACCTCAAAGACAAGCCCTGGTGGCCCGAAATGCAGACAAAATCCGACCTCATCAGCTCGTGCACAATCATCATTTGGGTCGCCTCGGCTCTCCACGCTTCTGTAAACTTCGGGCAGTACCCCTACGCTGGCTATTTACCAAACCGCCCGACCGTGAGCCGGAAACTAATGCCCGAGCCCGGGACTCCCGAGTTTACGGAGCTGGAGGCGAGCCCGGACGTGGCCTTCTTGAAAACGATAACGGCCCAGTTTCAAACGCTTCTTGGGGTGTCCCTTATTGAGATACTGTCGAGGCACTCGACCGACGAGATCTATCTCGGGCAGAGGGAGAGCCCTCGCTGGACGGCGGATAGTGGGCCACTTGAGGCTTTCGGGAGGTTCGGTGAGGCTTTGGTGGAGATTGAGAAGAGGATAGTGGAGAGGAACAGTGACGGGCGGTTCAGGAACAGGCGTGGGCCCGTCAAGGTTCCGTATACGCTGTTGTACCCGAACACATCTGATTATACGAGAAGCGGAGGGCTGACGGGCAAGGGAATTCCAAACAGCATCTCCATGTGAAAGAACCTAAACGTTTGGTAGGTGTTTTTATGAAGTTTGGGGGTCAATAATGTGGGATGCATAATGATTTGCTTTACATGTCAATCAAATATCTGATGTGCAATGAAAATTAGTGCAACTTTTTCTCAGCTATGTGAAGAAAAATATTACCTAAGAGGCAGAGCAAAAAATAAAACCAGTTTTCTCAGATCCAAAGGTAAAATCCCTGGCCACAATGCAAGTTTTCCACCTCAAATCTTCAACAAATCCAGACTTATTAAATGGAAGCAGCATGAACTCGAGCACAGAGACACATGGATATAAGTAAAATTATGCATCTATAATGTGTGACATTAATAGAAACAAGAAGCGAGAATTTAAAACTGATGTAGAGTAAAGCCGGCAAACATACAGAAACTCGGAGCATTGGCGAATCAGCAGTGGCGACGCATGAATTTCCACGCAATTTAAAAACTTTTTGAGAAAAGGTTTGAAACGTATATTTTTACCTCGAGTGCGCAAAACGTAGTAAGAACGAGACGTAACAATGTAAATAGCGGAAGCAACAACCGAAGATTTAAAAACTCTTCAGGGAAGCGTCCCACTTCCCCTCAGAGCTCTTTCATTGATAAATTCGTAACACATTATAGTTTGGACTTACACGACACGAACTCCCTTCTAGTCTAGCCACAACTATACACGATCCTATCAACTAATTCTCCGGCCACGTGCCGTGGACCTTTTAACCTACACTTGATCCCTAAGTGTAACACGAGAATGGTTTTTGAATAAACGAGGAAAACAAAAGAAGCGAGAATTAGTTGATAGAAACAAGAAGCGAGAATTTAAAACTGATGTAGAGTGGCAAGGTAACAAAGCCGGAAAACTTACAGAAATTCGGAGCATTGGCGAATCAGCAGTGGTGACGCCTGAATTTCCACGCAATTTAAGAACTTGTTGAGAAAAAGGTTTATTCAGTGAGAAGCGATTTAGCTGAGAGAGGACCTCAAGGTGTCGAGAGGAATGAAAAAGGATTAAAGAAACCGCAAACATACAAATATGGGCGGCATTTTATATATTTACTAGTACAGAACCCGTGCGATGCGATGCACGAGTGCACAATTTTAAGGTTATTTATCCAGCCTTATAATTATATAAATGAATAAAAAAATATACGGGATATATATAGTACGGGACCGGTGCGAGACACGGGATATATTTATTTAGAGCATATTATATTATAAGATGCAATATTCAATAAAAGTTTTATAGTACGCAGGAAAATTATACAATAAAATAGTATCTGAGTATCTGACAAAAAAAAAAATCATATATTATTAAAGACCTCCTTGTACATAGATATTAAATAATTTATTAGTAAAATAGTATATAAGTTGATTACAATAACAAAACAACATGTTCACGGGATTAGTAAAAATATTCCATGGATTGAAGATTTAATGGGATTAAACATTTAAATTAATTAACTTAGATAATTCAAAAGCCTTTCAACATTGTTTTGACTTTAATATATTACAGCATGTGTATACTTTAAATATATTGATATTTAAGGAACTTTAAACAGCATAATTTTTTAAAAAAAATTATTTTAGGGAACTTTAAATAGCATATTTACGTCACTCATAAAATAAATTATATTTCAACATCATAGTTATAGTATTATTTAAGGAACTTGAAACAGCATTGTTAAGTATTTACGTCCACCCATAAATTTTTTACAAGTCGAAGGTAATTAATCCCGTTTCTTTTTTATTTGTTTGTTTGTTCAATTTTTTTGACAAAACTGATATCATGGATAAAAAAAATTAATATTAAATAAATTAATTAAATAATATAACAAATATAGGATGCGGATAATCCTCTCATACCAAACAACGCGATTTCAAAATTGACTCAGATCCAGCAATCCTATCCAATATTTCATATAAATAAATATTAAATAAAATGCTTTAAACAGAAATTAGATAAGGAATTTTGAATCTGCCTTTTTTTTTAGTATAAATAGGCTTTACATACATTTTTTGACTTCACCGATTATGGGATTTGTTTTGACTAAATCGATGTTATTATGGAATAAGACAAATAAATAAAGTCTTTTTTATTTTAGTAAAGATTTTACGTATTTTTTTTTACTTATCGGATGTTATGAGATTTTTTTTTCCTTAAGCCGGTTTTTATTTTAGTAAAAATTATAAAGAATAACTAATATAATTTTATTATCTAACCATCAATAAAATCATTTAATGATGTGATCATTATCTTTTAAATAATAAATAATATTATTTTCTTTTTAAAAAAATATTAGTTTTATATAATTAAATAAAGGCTAAAAAGTATTACTCAACAAATATTAATTATAATGGATATCAGTAAAATCATTGCATAAATTATTTAAGGAAAAAATCTTTAAGATCATATCTGAATAATAAATGTAAATATGCAAGCATTTAATGCATATAGTAAAAATTTCCAAATAAGGTATGCATTAAATGTGTGTTGATTTTTCTTGCTACTATATTTGGTAAATAGGTTGGCTTTTAATATATATATATAGATATAGATGTTGGTAACAATAATAAGTTAATAACTATTATTGGCAATTTTATGTTATTTTTTCAGTTGGTAACTATTTTGTTGGGTAAAATTTCAAAATTGGTCCTATAACTTGGCCACTGTCCAAAAAACCACCCCTATATTGACCACTTTCAATTTAGGTCCTATAATTTGTCGATTTCATCAATTTTGGTCCTTTTTATCCGGACCCTGGATTAAAAAGTGACGTGGCATGACGTGTCAGTTTTTTAAGGTTACATGGCGTGATTATGATCTACGTGGCACGTCAATTTTGGTCCTATAATTTGTCGATTTCATCAATTTTGGTCCTTTTTTCATGCCACGTCACTTTTTAATTCAAGGTACGGATTAA